ACACGTAAGCCATGGCTAGAAAAGAGCAATACTATAATTGTGGGCAGATATTCTCAAATTTTCTTATCCAAGAGTCTTTGACAATGTTGCACAAAATCAAGCAAATGGATACCTTGCCAAGCTGATCAAACCCATCAAGCTGATTGAGTAACTCCATCAGTGTTCTTTGAATTTCCCGGTCAGCACTTGTTCCCTCACTAAAACGTCGTCCGCCGATTGCATCAATCTCATCCATAAAGATTATGCAGGGCTAAAAAGGAAACAAATTATAAGCAGAGAATAACGTAGCAGCAACAACAACATACCCAGTATTATCCCACCGTAGGGCCTGGGGAGGGTAGTGTGTACGCATACCTTACCCCTACCTAGTGAGGATAGAGAGGTTGTTTCCAATAGACCCTCGGCTCAGGAAAGCATAAGCACCGCATTAATGAAAATATAGACAAGAAGGGACAGTACCACAAAGCCATATAGAAGCAAAATAAAAACAACAAGATAGTAAGGTGATCAACAATGAAAGAAAACAACGGTTAGTCATAAAAACCTACTATCAATAGAATGCGAGACTGCGTGCCAATACTACTGTTATGAACACTCTAGACTACCTACTCTACTACCCAAATCCTTGACCTCCATACCTTCCTATCAAGGGTCATATCTTCGGTTAGCTGAAGTTGCGCCATGTCTTGCCTAATCACCTCTCCCCACCTCTTCGTTGGCCTACCTCTACCTCTCCATAGGCCCTCCAATGTCAACCTCCCACACCTCCTCACCGGGACGTCTGTGCTCCTCCTCCTCACATGACCAAACCACCTAAGCCGCGATTCCTGCATCTTGTCCTCAATAGGGGCCACACCCACCTTGTCGCGGATAACCTCATTTCTGATCCTACCTAACCTGGTGTGCCTGCACATCCATCTCAACATCCTCATCTCTGCTACCTTCATCTTCTGGACATGAGCGATCTTTGACTGGCCAACACTCGGCCCCATACAACATCGTTGGTCTGACCACCACTCTGTAGAACTTACCCTTAAGTTTCGGTGGCACCTTCTTGTCACACAAAACATCGGAAGCGAGTCTCCATTTCATCCATCCCGCCCCAATACGATGTGTGACATCTTCATCAATCTCCCTATCACCCGAGTAATAAACCCAAGGTACAATAAAAAGTTTGCATCTAATTTCTGCAAGATAGAGTTCCTTACCTGATGATCGCGTGCATAATTGAACATCTCCCTTATCAGTCTTGCACTTTCACCAATATACTTATCAATAATGGCACTTGATACAATCTACAAAGCGATAAGCATGGAATATGAAATGAATCATGTCCTTTTTCCTTATCTAAGAGCAAGACAGTAATAAAACCAAAAGCAACATGAACAGAATATTATACACCAACCTTCAAAAAGTTGGCATCAATATTACTAGCAATGGCTCTAGCTAACAAAGTCTTGCCGGTACCAGGAGGGCCGTAGAGCAGAACACCCTGAAAGATTTTATGATGTTAAAGAATTAATTCTGTACTTCAGATGTAACATATCATTCATTATCTGTCAGGCACTTTTTAAATGCACACGCATAAGATGGATAAAAGAGAGAATGAAGGGTCAGTATGACCTTGGGAGGTTTGATTCCAACTCTGAGGAACAGCTCAGGATTCATAAGAGGTAGCTCAATGGATTCCCTAAGTTCACGAATTTGATCTGATAAACCACCTACAGCAGAGTAACTAATATTTCCCGGATCTTCATGGAGCATGTTATAAACAACTGGATCAACCTTTACAAGAAGAGTATGAAATATTAAGCATTGATGAAGAAGTATCTCTGTAGAGTCTACACCCCCCCCCCCCCCCAACAAGGAGATCTCAACCATTACACATTCCAGCCTTCCCATTAACATTTGAGAACAGAGACCAGAGGAAACATACCTCACGTGGGAGGGCACGCATGATTGTGAGAGTTGTCATGTCAAGAACCACTCTTGTTCCAGAGGTCAGTTTTTCCTTGTCAAGCTTATTACGGCACCCGACAACATACCTTGGACCACTGCTTGCTTTTACAATCACTAAAATGAAATATATGGTAAGTTGTTATTAGCTGTGCAACTATGGTCACTACTTTCTTCTACAATGAATGAATAGAACAAAAGCAAACAGATGTTTCTGAATCTAAAGCTAAAGCTATGTCGTAAAGGCAATTGCATGCCATATAGAACACTATATAACACATTCTTCTCCTAATGAATTTCCATAGGCGCAAAGTATTCCAAGAACCGGCTGCTTTTACAACTGCCGTAAAGATAATATACTTCAGTAAGACAAGTTGATAGAACTATACTCTCCCGGGAAAAAGAAAATGAAAGGGAAAGGTAAACGATAAAAAGAACACTGTCAAAGCAGCTACAATCAGCGAAATGCTCATACCAGCTCAATCATATGAATTTCAAACCACTTGTGAGATCTCGATAACATCTAATATTAGAGAACCCTAAATATGCCTTAAAAGACAAGACATTTTGTGTATTGGGACTGAAGAGCAAAACAGAGAAAAAGTATTCATACAGCTAACTCCAACTAGTTTTAGATTGAGGCAAAGTTGATTGACTGATTGATAGGATGGTCATTTACTATTTAATGCAGCAAGAAATGAAAGCAACCATCTAATGGATTGAAACTTGAACTAAAATACACTTGATCTGCACAAACTAGAAATACCCAAAGTTGAAACCTTATTTAATCTACAGAAAGCTTGGGTATTCTTATCTTGATACTTTAACTATTCAGCAACACCTGAATATTCAAAATTCAATTTTCACCAATAAGGAAAGGCAATGAGTGAATGCATCAAAACTATTTATAAATCAACTACATCTTAATCTTAAGATAGTCGAGATCAACTATATGAATTTATCATAATTCATCAATAGGTTTTATTGAAAAATCTGAAAGTTAATAGTAATAACAAGAAGAAGCTTGTAGAAAGATAGTAAGTTACTTCGTTCATGGTCGAGAGGGCGAAGAACTTCGCCGATAATCTGTCCAACGCTCTGAAGCGACTTCAAATCATCCTCTGTTTTGTTGTATTCTTTCTTTGATGCTCTTAAATTCTCCCTGACTACATTAATTTCATAAATTCGAGAAGAAACAAAAAATTAATTTTTGCACATAGGATTGAATTAGGGTATAGAAATTGGGGATTGGAGGAAAGACGGACCGGTTCGGATTCTGGATTCGAGTTCTTTGTGCTGGAGAAGCTTTCTCCGGTATTCTGCCACCGCGTTGCGGCGTCGCACCGCGTCTTCTCCTTCACTCATTGCCGGAATCCGAGAGTCGCTGAAAAGCTGAATAATTTACTGAACAATTTACTTCTGAAATCTTTAGCTCAAAGAGTGCTGAACAAGAAACCAGAAACTCTTGCAAATTGAAGAAATCATATGAAGAAACGACGCCATTAGAAATGTCCTGAATTTGATTTTGCTTTTTCATTTGCCAAATACAGATGCGGACCCTTAAACTTGTCCCGTATATTTATTTACACACTTGAACTCGGGCTAGTGCCTATTAAACTACTAAGCTTTACCAAAACTATTCCAACTATACACATTTTGATGAAACAGCTAAAATATAAGATGTGTGCACTTCTGAAGTGGTTCAAGAATCCAATGAGAAAGCAACACGTGGATTTGGATCCCAAATAATAAGAGAAAATTGAGAGAGGAAATAAAAAGTTATGTTCCTCAAAAAGGAACCGGTTGCTATGGCCTCCTCCCCAGAGGCGGACCCAGGATTTAAGCCTTACAGGGGCACCATTATTTTTAGTATGCCAATCACCAACAATAAAGTTCGGGTGTAACTCTTTAAAATGACTATGATAATTTATCATCAAAATAAAAACATCAATATTATCAAATACCATTAACTTGATACTAATATAACAAAAGTATATTGTCCACTCATAGTTGAACTCGACGCGTTTTCATATTTTACGGTCAATAATAGCATCATTGCTTATATTTACAAATACTTCCTTCTCAAAGTAACAAACTAAACAATCATTTAAAAATGCATCACCAATACTACTACGCAATTCATCTTTGATGTACTTCATAGATGAGAATGTTCTTTCCACCGTTGCAGTTGCGACAGGTAAAATTAAAGTCAACTTCACAAGCAAATAAACAAGTGAATAAGTCTCCACAAGATTTGTCTCAACCAATGCTTTCGCCAAATCACCAATTCCTTTCAAATCAGAGAACCTAGGGTCACCATGTTGCATATGCCATATGAGAGTGTCAAGTTGGCGACTAAGATCTCGAAGCTTCAATTCACCAAACTCATCGGGATAATGCTTGGCCAATGTCATTATTCTTTCCTTATCAAAATTAGCAAATGAGTTAGCCGGATTCAAGCTAGCCATACCAAGAAGCAGGTTACTACTCACAACATCAAAACGACTATTAAGCTCCAGAAGTTACAGATCAATCACGGCATAAAAAAGCTCAACACGTAAGTGATGTGAATAAGTAACACTAGAAGGCCTCGCTTCGACTTTCCAGGAATATAGAATTCTTCCATCTTGGGCACCAAAATATCATGTTTTGCACAAAATAAATATACTTCATCCATCAATGGTTCCCATCCTTTATCTCTCATTTCTTGCAACCTTTCCTTTGTGATATCAAGAAATACCATGGCATTGACAATATCTTGATCTTTCTTCTGTAATCCTTTGCTCAACTCGTTTGACATTATCAACACTTTCAACATTAAGTGAAGCAAGAAAACAAATTCAAATGCTTTAATTTTACTCGAAAAAACTTCTGCTTGCAACCTATCATTAACATCACCTTCACATTCAATCACCCCAAGCACATGAACAATAGAAGAAAATAAAATAACAAAGTTATCCAATGTTTTACAATGTGATCCCCAACGAGTGTCACCTGGCCTTTGAAGCCCCCGCTCTTGATTTAATCCTTTCCCACTTTGAACTTCACCACTCTCTAACAATTGCTCCAAACAATTCTGCTTGATGATCCTGAATTTGATCTCTACGCTTAAAAGAAACTCCAATTATATTCAACACATTAGTAACAATAGCAAAGAAAGTCTCAACCTCCTTGTGTTTTTTAGCAACGGCTACAAGCGTCAATTGTAATTGATGTGCAAAACAATGAACAGAATATGCCCATGGAGTTTCTTGCAAAATTAAAGCTTTAAGGCCATTCATCTTTCCCTGCATATTACTAGCCCCATCATAGCCTTGTCCACGTATTTTGGATGGACTTAATGAGTGTTTCATTAGCAAAGAAAGTACTGCTTCTTTCAACAACTTTGCAGATGTATCAGTAACACGAACAAGACTAATAAATGGCTCGTTCACTTGGCCTTTTTTGTCAACATACCGCAAAGCAAAGGCCATTTGTTCATGGTGTGAAATATCCTTGGACGCATCAACTAATATCCCAAAATAATCTCCATCCAAGTCATCAATTATAGTTTTCACGGTCTCTTGTGCACAAGCACTCACAATATCCTTTTGAATTTTTGGCGAAGTCATCATATCATTTTTTGGAGCATGTTTTGGGTTTAGAAGAAATAACCTGATGTCAAAGAGAGAGAGAAAAGGGAGTAGGCTTGTATTTTTAACCTATGAAATTTGTTTTGGGTTTAGAAGAGATAACCTGATGTCAAAGAGAGAGAAAAGGGAGTAGGCGTGTATTTTTAAACTTTGAACGGAATTAAGATTCAATTAAAGGTCTGACCGAATGGGACCCAATAAAAAAAAAGACTGTAGGACCTGAGTTTCGAACCTAGGTCTTGAAGAAGGCAGCTACTCCCACAAACCAACTCTTCTATCCAGTCTTTGTGACTGAGGGTGCCACATAATATATTTATAGGGGTCCTCCCTGTATTAACTTATATATATAGAATATATATACAATATTTTTACCGAGGCCAACGGGTCCCCGTGACCCCCCACCCCCTAACGTAGGTCTGCCCCTGCTCCTCCCCCCCTACTCGCAATATTCAATCAACTCACGAAGACACATCAAGATAAAAAAGATATATTTTAAGATTAGAGCATGATTTTTAGAAATGTTCAGATGAAATTTTTCACCAAGAACCTGCAAGCGAGCAAGAAAGAAATTGTTTAACCATAAAATTGTTAAACTCTTTAATTAAACTAATTAATAGAGAGATAGAAGGTAAATCTTAACCAAACATAATTAACTCTAGATCAAAACATACCGAGTACAAAAGTTGGAGGAGAACAAGCTGATTTAATATTTCTTGAAATGATTGTCATACATCAAATATAAATGATAGGCTTACATTTATGACAGATTTGCACTATAATCATAAGGGCACAGAAGGGGAAGAGAGAAAGCTATTGATAGCTTAAGAGATCCCCCCTTGATAGTTCCGTACGATGACTATAATGTTGCAGCCTGATTTGGGTCCCGAGACCCCTTTAATAATCTCTTGCCTCCCTATATATACTAATAATTTTTCCCTTTTATCCAACGGTCTTTGACCAGCGTGCTTTCTCATGACTGTATCTTTCAATACTTACCCAAACATTACACTTGTTCTGCGATGTAAGCTTTCTAACGGCTTGATCTCGGCAGGGACCGTGGTACTCGTTGCCAGCACGCCTCGTGGGCACGACCATGGCTGGGTCGACCTCTTACCGTCCCCTTTAATGATAACTATCTAGTGGTCAGATTTTGACCCACACAATTAGTCCCTCCGCCTGTTGGGGTTGTCTTTTGGCGAGCTCAATGGGCGGACCCTATGGATCCATGAATTAGGAGAAATCTGATCGTTATGTGAGGACGGGGTTCTCATGGCAAGGTGGCGATGTGATGTTTTAAGGACTTTACCGGACCGTTACGTCAGTTCGGAGATGGATCGTACGTCGATCCAGGGTGCCATGAATGCCCATTATGCGTCATTATGATGCACGTTCCCTAGGCACCGTATCGTTTCCTGTGCCCTTTCAGCTTTTTGGCAGCTCTTGGGTTTCTCGCTCAGGGCGTTTATGTTCCTATAAATAGGGGGAAACCACCATTTGATTGTTACGCTTTTCGATTTACCTAAGAAATTTAGCAAACTTCCATCTTCTTTAGTATTCCGCACTTCTGCTTTTGTCAGAATTTGACGTGATCACCCTCTCTATTTCTTCATCACTCTTGTTTATTCCGATCGAGCCAGACAAATGGCTGGTACTTCTTCCTAGACTGATAGATTCATCGAAGCTCCGGTGCCGGAGAATGATGCACCCCTTCTTGGAGAGGGAATGGAGGTGAGGGAAGATGAGGGATTTCCGACAATGGCTGAGATACTACCCCGTCCGAGGAAATTATGGACTAACTTTAACAGCCCTGCCGGAGACGAACCGGAACCTGTCCCTTCCACCATGGATGAAGCGGCGATTACGGCGCTCAAGTCTAAGTGAGGAATTCCAAATCACATCGACATGGTACCGGCGACGGGGACGGACATTGTACATTTGAACCGCCCGGGGTACTGCGCCTTTTATGCGTATCCTTTTGTTTTCGGATATACGCTTCCTCTCCCCTCTCTAGTGGTAGACTTCTGTCGCTTCTACGAAGTGTGCCCGGCTCAGCTCTCACCATACGCATACAAGCTCTTCTTCATGCTTATCTGTCACGCCCCAAAGTCGTGGAACGTGACCGGCGCTCAACCGAGTAAACCCGACTAAGCATCCTGTTAGATTTCATTCTACCCAAACTAGTTCATGAATAAAGAAGGAATGTTATCCCATTTTATCAAAACACTAGGCAATCTTCCATTAGCAACTTTCACTTCATTTTCGTTAATGACTTCATTCATAGTTTTCAAAATATTAAAAGTTTACAAGCTTAATGAAAAACATACTTATCAAATACTAACATTTCTAGTCTTGACTCCTAACATCAACCATCACCCACAAACAGTCTACGGAGCCTCTAAATACAATAGAAGAGTAATAGGGAAAAGTCGGCAACAAGGCCCCGGCTATACCTCAAAACATGATGAGAAAATAAACAAAAGATACATGACATGACCCCGAGATGGAGTGGGGCTCACCAAGTCTGCTGGGAAGAGAATCCCGCTATCACTGGCCGATGCCGCTCGCTGTGGAACCACCTGTATCATTAAACGATACAGCGCCCCTGGCAAAAAGGGGCATTAGCACCGTCGAATAGCACTAGTATGTAAGGCTAAAAGTCCTCTTTCAGAATAGAATAACCATACAAGCAAGAAACCATGAAACAGTAAGCCAAAACCTACAACATACAAGCGTCCAATTTGAAACATATAAGTCTTCTAGTTTATGAAAATAATATATAATTTTTGGTTGGGAGATCATTAACACTGATATGAGTTATACCACCGTCTTTGTTAGCACGGAGTCCGATCACGACCCGATCGGCTAGGTCGTCCTTTTGGAGACATGTACCACAATCACAATTTCCAGTTTTGAATTTCTAGTTTTGATTCCCAGCACAATGCCACCATGTGTTCGGCATGGCGTCCGATCACGGCCTGATCGGCTAGGTTGCCTTCCCACATATGCCGTGTGGGTTGGCGTTACCAATTTACAAAATGTTACCAAGTTCATCCCAATTAAGGGGAATAACCACGATCCACCCTTACACCGGCACGTGTAGTTTCAGGTATGAGCCATATGACCCACCCTTCCTCGGTTTTGCTAATGATACTCCCAAAAACATTTTTGATTTGATTGGATATTGCATACAATTGTAGCATAATACAAGTATACAAATATAGCATAATACAACTATGCTTACCTCAATATCTTTCACATTTTATAGTTTTTATTAATGTTCTCAATCTCTCTCGATAACAGTATTTCTTTGGCCCTTTGGGCCTTTCACAAGGTTCGTCTTTTTCATGGCACTAAGGCCGCATTTTTAGTTTTCCACATTTTCATCTCCTTTATTTCCAAGGATCGTCAACCAATATCAATGTACCAAATATTCCGGGAATCATATATTATCGAGTTCATTAGTAATGGAAACATCAAACACAAGGGATTCTTCCCAAAGAGGGACATGCCAACCAACAATTGAAATACACATTGGAGTTATAAGCAAGCAATCACCTCAATTATCCTTGAATTATTCTTTTCCCATCATGACAGTTGTACAATTTCAACATCGGAATGTGTAAGGACTAGCATTACATTAAATGTATTTATAAGGCAAAGTAATATCTAGAACAGCCACTTATGGGCATAGTTCAGGTACAAGACCTTTAGGCCATTCTATATTTTTTTGAAGTTAGTTCCTAACAGTTGGGTCGAGGCTTATTTCATAATTTGTTTCACATCTTCTCATTCGATTCATTTCCAAACGTCTTTCCAGTTCATCGACAAATAGGCACATTCAATCAAGGCATTTAGTACACATAAGAGCAACTAGGAGCATTAAACAGATCGAATTCTTCTCACCCAATTAGTATACTAACCTTCATTTAAAATGTGACTCAAGGCTATACCACTTTGGTAGACAAACCACACTTAAACTTACAAAAAACTATATGGAATTCACTTCCGAGAGAGAAAGTTTAGCCTACATACCTCAATTGAGCTTTCCTTAAGTCCTACTATACTCCGAGACTCTTAGCAACGTCAATCTCTTAGGAACATGACAAATCGAACCACAAATTAGAGAGGTGATCATAGTTCTAGCTCATTTGAGCATATTCTCAAAACACTAAGTGTGCATTATGCTCTTAAAACCTGTTTGTGAAAGATCCTACCATCCCTCATCCCATCCTTAGCTCAAGACCTCACCAAATACTTTCAGAACTCATACATGCAAGATATCCGCTCCCATCCTCAAGGATTTCCCTTCTAATGGTCTATCCTAGTTATATCTAGTAATTAATAGCTTGGGTTATAGAACCTTACCCTTTCGGAAGAAGACCTAGGTGCCCTTCTTGATAAATCTTCAAGGTTTAAGCAAGATCTTAGGAGGAATGTTGATGAAGAACCCCTTCTCCCTCTAGGACCCTCTCTCTCTCTCTCTCTCTAAATGCATCCCAAAATAGGCCTAAAATGAAGGGTAGCATATAATATATCGACATGGGGTCGGGTAAGAAAATTAAAAATTAGGAGCCCCGACACAAATTCGCGATCGCATAATTGACATGCGGCCCGCAAAAGGGACCACAAAAATGGCCCCCGAAACTTGAACAAACTGCCCGGGTATACGACAAGAATGCGGTCCGCATACCTGTTCTGCGGTCTCATAATGCACCACAGAACTGGCCCTCGGAAAATTCCAAGGAGATTATGCGATGACTATGCGGCCCTCATATTGATTATGCGATTGCATAATTGGCCGCATAGTTGACCTCAAAATAAACCATCAAACTGCTTCACTCTGCGGCGACTATGCGGTCTGCATAGCTATTATGCGACCGCATAATGGACCGCAGAAACGCACTCTTCTGAAAAACATTATTCCTTAACTTTTAATGCACAGATCAATCCAAAGGGTCTGAACCGCAGTGAGCTTACGA